GTGGGGGCAGTGGCCCTGACGGCCGCTTCCGGACCCCAACGTGCCGTGACCGCCGCTCCGACCCGCGCGGACCACCCTCCCTGGAGGCAGGAGGCTACTTAGTCCTTCATCCTTTGTGCCTGAAGTGACTCCGGTGACATAAATTCTCATCAGAGCCCCGCAGATTGAGAAAATAGAAATCAGATAACGGATGTTTTCCTGAAAGGCCAATAGGCGGGATCGTATTGGCGGGCAAAGCGCTCCCAGCGAGGAGCAGCAGCGTCTCCCCTGCATCACAGCTCGGCGCTGCACGGGCACGAACACCTCTCCGGGAAAGCCGCACGCCGTGCCGAAACCTGACGACAGGGAACACCATCCCACAGCCTCTTCAGCTCCTGAAAACAAAGCTTTCCTCACAGAAACGTGTGTGCACACACTCATTCAATGCGCACGGCCTTCTCGCCCCGCAGTACTGCAAACATACATGTCATTATGAAAAAGCAGAAAATGGGTAGGGAAGCAAATAAAAGCACAGTCTTTGGTCCCAGCACAGGAAACCTACAATTTTGTGTCACTAGAACGAAATCTTTCCAGCGATGAGAGAGGTTTGCAGTCAGTTTTCTGCTGTCCTGCAATCGTTTTGTAAGAAACACTTCTGCTCCACAATTAGACGTTTGGTTGTGTCCCTCTTATACACTTAAAGCTTTACCCATTTTGGTAGGTTTGGTGTTTAAAATGGCATATTTATTCTCAAAGAGTAACTTTCACCCTTCAGTAAAATTACCCTACTATGCAAGTGCACCTCTCTTTTTTTTTTTTTTTTTTTGTCATCATCGAATTATGTTACAAATTAACCTGGATTAAGGATCCATTAAGTATTTGATCCAACTCCAGGAAATCAACCTCAGTCCATAAGAGTTTGCGGGGCTTAGGTTAGGCACCTTCTTCCTGAGATTTTTGTGGTACAGAGAATTTCAGGCACAATATGCTGGTGTCTGCATCAACTTAAGCCTTATTAATTATAACTATTACAGAGTTGAACATAAGGGGTGTTTTTCTTAAGATCCCTTTTTAGAGCAAAACTTGATAAGTTATTCTGAGTTTGTTTAAGGATGCCGTGTATGAAGCCCCCTGAGATTAATTAATTTAGGACCAAATCCCAATGTGCTTGTTCAAGCAAAGCTCCTGTTCACCCTTAAACAAAAGCTCTCTACTGAGAAGTGCGGATTTTGCCCCATGTTACTATTTTGAAGCATGTTACTATTTCGAAGCACGACAAGGCGATCTGAAAGAAACACTGCCACGAATGTCAGCAGCTAGCCACAGGTCCTCGTCTTTTAGTCACTTCTGAGCAAAATATATGATTAAAATAGGAGATATCGCCTCACAAATATCTTCAAGAATAAGTAACGCACCATAGTCTCCTGCGAAACCATCTCATGCTGCTGAACAAAATCGCTGCTCCTGATACAGAAACACAGTGGCTGCTCCCACTCCGCACACCACCACGTTACCTCTGCGGCAACGCGCTTCCGGAGAGAGAGCCCTTTCCCCAGATCCTCCACTTTGGAAAGCATTTCTCGCCACGTTCTTCGCTCCCCCTCCTGTTTCACGTGATTTCAGCACTGAAAGCTTTTGCACACAGGTGTTGCCAACGAAAGCCGAGCAGCACGCGGACGCGGGCGCCCGAGGTCAGCATCTCACACTGGAAGCCCCTGGACGGCAGATTCGCCTTTTGTTAAAGCCCCTTGGGCCCCAAAGGCCACCAGGCGAACGCGCAGCCCCTCGACGCGCGGTCCCCGCTCCCAGCGACCACGTCCCAGGCACCAGCACCCACGCGGAGTCGCTTCCAGCCGCAGGGAACTTCTCCCAGCCCATGTTGGTGCTGTTAGGAGCTGAGGAGCCGCCGTTTTCACCTTCTGTTGCTGATGGCAAAGCATCCCTAGGAGAAACCAGCCCAAGGTATACTCTGTGCCTCCCTAAGTCAAAAATAAGTATAATTAATCGTAATCCTGCAGCTCCCTCCAGCAGGGACTGCTGCTGAAAAGGTGCCATTTTTATGATTAATCACACTACCTGCTACCAAAACAGACATTAAACGTCCACTGCTGCTACAGAAAGCAGCGAAACAGCGTTATGGGGGAGCCCTGAAGGGAGAAGGAGGGTATTTTTGGAGTAGGCGCAGGAAAGCAGAGGGGGTCCCGGCCGCGCGAAGCCCATCCGGCAAGGGCAGCCAAGCAGGAGCAGAAAGCTCCGCGCGCCTGGCCGGGCGATCCCGCTCATCTGCAGGCAAACCCCACTCATGAAACAGGCTCAGGGTGGCAAAACAGGACACGCAAGCACTGGGCATTCATTCCAACCAAATCGGGTTTTCACAATTTTCTTTCTTTTATTTTTCAGGAAAAATGTGAAAATAAGAGCGTAGATAAAAGCAAAACAAAACAAAAAACACACACAAACACAAACACTTTTATCTACGGGGTCATTTCCTTCCCTTGGCTTTCCAAAACTTTCCTCCTTCTCCAGACCAGACTTCCATCAAACTTTTACCCAACATATGTTAAGTAAGAGATTGTAAAACAGGAAGTTTTTGTCTCTCATCATATGAAAGAAAGTCAGAAGAGAAAAAAATGTCAACCTCTGTGCCATCATATGTCAAAGAAGTCCAGAAGTAAAGCAAATCAAGAAACTAAAGTTAAGGTTAAAGTATGCATTCCTTGGGTGCTATTAATATTTCTAAACAAAAAGAAAAACAGCTCCAGAATAACTCTTCAGATTTATGCACCACAACTCTCAGTAATACTGCACTTAATGATTGTCTCTTAAAGGCTCTAATTTTTTCCTCAGGAATGCATCCACAATATGAAGACTGAATACCTTTATTTTAAATAAATTCTCTCAGTTTGATCCCTTTACGCATCAAGATAGCCTCACTGTCACGTCTTCTTTTTTCCCTAAAGTTACTAAAATTAACCAGCAAGGGCTGCTGCTAGAACATCTGTAGCATGTGTCATAGTTGTAACAAAACCTAGATAAACAGCACATAAGTTCATACTCAGGCAGTTAAACTATTTTGTTCACTTTCATTTACTTCAGCATCATCTTTTTAGCAGTATATATATAAAACAAAAAAGGCTAGCAAGCATCTTAGACTCAAATACAAATACACACAGCACAATATATTCATTTGTAGCTTTTTCATTACTCCTTTTAGATAAATTATATTTACAATCCAGAAGGAGAAAAGATATTATGGCACATCATTTTTATCCCATACGGCAACTCCAATGAAAGTATCTGTATATATCTCAATATCACTCTAGAGCAACCAAATGACAATGGCTGAGAAAATATCCTGTCTTTTATTACAGGATTTGCTTGATCTAAAAACAAACAAAAACAGACATTTCAGTATCGTCAAATTAAAAGTCTGTGTTTGCTCTGTACATAACCTACTATATTTGATAGGTGCACCCTAAACATTTGACCAGATAAAATACATACTGTTAAAGATATTTATACTACAAAACACAAGTAGCAGCCCTCTCAATTTTAGGCATTGCAATTATTTTCCTGGGTGAAATGGACTAAAACAATTATTATATGCTGTTTAAACATTCAAACTGCTGGTGGAAACCATGCTTTCCATGGAAACAAAGATAACTAAGGGGGTGCTTAAAAACAGATGTGATATTCAGCAATGGCCACTACTGTAACCCAGAAATTAAATTTTTAGATTTTAATATTATTTTCCCATATCTATATGGAGGTTGGTTAATAAAACATTTTGTACTTTATCTTATAGTAAGGGGAAGGAACAATTTTGAAGAAAAAGTGAATGTATTCTTTTGTTAAAAAAATCTTGCAGCTCTTGTAGCTGGAATAAAGAAATATGCACAGTGCTACAGATTTCCTAACAGATTATGAAATCAAAACTTGAATCTTAGAAAATAGGCTCTCCCTACTCTCCCCCTGTCCTTAAAGCTGCTTTCCCCTGCCTTAGATTTCCACGTATAGGACCATGTAAACTAAGGAAATGCTCTGTTTCTGTTGGGCTCGGTCTCAAATGGAAATAATTAAAAGGAACTCCTTCAGGAGAGCAATGGCTCTAAACCCAAAATGTCACTGTGCACCACAGAGCGCTGCTCCAGCTCAGACATCTATCAACATCTATCACTCAAGCACGCGCCGCAACGACTCTGCTCCCTTTTCTGATTAGAGATCAGAGTTGCCCGAGTTGGCTTACAGGGTGTCATCTGTTTGAATGACAGATGTCTGTGTTGGAGTGTTACTCTTACTGCTCTTGTTTTGATTATGAAAGGTTATGTTTTTATCAGGCGTAAGCCAGGTTGTTTCAGAACTAAAAAGCTAATTTCTCCTTGCACATGCTTTAGAGGAAATATTTTATTGCCAACTTAAATTCTAAAGCCACTTGATCTCTATGCACTACCCTTGCTAGCCTTTGTTTACTCAGTTCAGAGTATTTCCTATGGGAATGTTTTAGCTGTCTTCACTAAGCTTTATCTTTACCATATAAACAATAACTCATCAGTTTAGCCCACCTCTAGAAAAGACCGAGCACGTGAGACACCAGGATCAGCACGCAAGGCAATAAATGTTAATTAACTATTGCAAGAAACATTTAAAGATTTCTCCTTTTTCCTTTGTTTTTTTTTTTTTTTAAATTTACAGTGAGACCTAGGATTAAAAGATAAAAAGGAACCCCCCTTTCCCCCCCCAAAAAAAATTAAAAAAGAACAAAAAAGGAAAACAACAAAAGATGTCTTCAACTCGCATAAAATAAGTTCATTGTTGACAAAAGTTTTCAGGACGCGACACTGCCGTTCTGGCAGCCCGCTGGAGTCGGGGCGTATGGCTGCACGCCTGCACGCTCCAAGCTACTCCTTGGTACTTACAAGAAAACTGAGTGAACAGGGAAAAAAAAAGAAAAAAACAACGGGGGGAGATTGCTCTTCCGGACAACATGGTAGCAGTGAAATGAAATACCTAGACAGACTTACCGAAGAGCTTGCTGGGAGTGTCCTCGCTGTCATTTGATTCCACAGGCGCAAGCAGGGGCTCATTCAGCTCGTTGTCTGAAGTAGCTGCCTTGTCCTCACCTCTCAACTCTGCATTCATTTCACTCCGCAGTGACAGCAAGGGCTTACTGACTTGTCCAGCTATCATTGGATCCTAGGATGGGGGGGGGAAAAAAAGGAGAAAAAAAAAGAAAAGTGGCGGCGTTGGGGCGTGCGGGCCCCCGCCGCGCCGCGCTCCTCTGCCTGGCGCACGCACACAGCCGCTCGCGCTCGCTCGCGCTCTTATCTCTGCCTGCTCCCGCTGTTATTGCTGGCTGCAGTCAAGTGAAGAGCTATTACAGATCCAATGAGTTTTCCATTACTCCCCACCCTATTAAAGCTCAACTAGCATGTGAGAGATTCAGGATGCTTTGGAGGAAAACTTCTCGGGAAGCGACACAACCAGCACAGCTTTAATTGTGGGATGTGCTGTTGTGTGTGTGTGTGCATGCTTTTACACCTCACTCTGTCCTTAACGTAGTAAGGAAAGAAATTCCTGTATGCTCCAACACCGCGGAAGAGGAGCCCCCTGCGAGCACTCCGCGGGGATTTAAAGAGGCATCCTCGGCTGCGCAGCATTAACAAAATCAAATTCACATTTTTTTTTAACCATTCAAGTGTTTCAGTGAAAATACACAGCAACAAATAGCCATCCCGCTACAGGCATTCAATAGAGCTACAAATTTCTAACTATTCTCATCTTTGGGATACCCTGCTCCCAAAAAAAGTCCATAAACACACACACAAACACATTCCTGAATTTAAATTAATATATACAGAAACCGTTGTTTTAAAGGAAAAAAAAATCAGGGAGGATACTTACACAAACAGTTTGCAATTACGCTTGCGTTTGGGACATTGTATTCCCATAAAGTATTACTATAGGTATATTTGAGTTTTCTCTTGGCGATTTGGATGTGTTTTATCTTCTGCTCACTGAGGACATTTGGGGGTCAGGCATTATTTCCAAGCACGCTCTACTATTCCGCTTGCAAACTAAGAGCTATAGTATCATGGCAGCATGGAAGCCAGAGCCAAAAAAAAAAAAACTATGGAAAAGAAAGGAACAAGTGACCTTGTTGTGCTTCCTGGCAGCTATTTATTGCAAAGTTCATGCCTAAATGGCTCTTATGCAGAGAACAGGTGACCAGCGAGCAAGTAGGTTGGTTAGCATGTTCCCTCCGTCCCGTCGTCGCACTGGTCGATGTTTGCCTATGGGTTTTTTAATGTATTCATGTCTGAAAAGTGAATTTGATATGACACATGATAATCTATGAAAATGTTAATCAATACAAATAGTTTAAGCTGTCATCAAATGCACTTCTTTAGTCAATACTCATATCGCTGAAAACAATGTCACTGTCACCAGGGCTTAATTTGCACAGCACTTAAATATTGGACTCTGTGCATCAATGCACTCCTCTTCAAATACTGTAGGTAAACACATTTTCTCCCTATTTAAGGCTGAAGCACTCAGCACGCATTTAGCTGAGCCGAATCCTCCCTTTTGAATACCTTGATAGGTCCACTGGAGGGCAAAATTAATACTTAATTGAATCTCACAGTCATCAAAATAATCAATACTTTTTTATTATTTATTCTTTACAGTCTGTTGACTGTTTCAAACCTCTGAGGGAATGGTGGAAAGGATTCATGGCTTTGAAACACTGTCATTTAACAAGGTAATTTTCAGTGGGGCATTAGGGGTTGTGAAACATATAATAAAACAAAAATGGTGGCTTATAATAGGAAGAAAGAAAAGAATTATATTTCTGCCATCTAACAAAACAGGATAAATAAAAAAGCAAGTGCAGGGAGAGGGAGAAAGGAGGGGGGAGAGGGAGAGAAAGACTGGCTTTTGAAGGGTTTTATCATATCAAGAGCAGAGCTGAGCTTTCATAATGCTGACATTTCTCATCCTGACAATCCTAAACAAGTGGAAAGGATGAGATCGCAGATATCATCTTTCATCACATTCCCCAGCTTAAGAACCAACATGACAGCTTCTCTCCCCTTTACACTGTTAATTACTAAATAAAATACTGCTCTCTGTCAGCATTAGATTATTGCAGATAGCAACCACAAACATTACTCCATTGTTTTGGTTTGGTTTTGCGCCTTTTTTTTAAACCAATGATACCTACCTTGAACTCTTCAGAAAATAAATTGGGCTTGTGTCTACATATTGTAAATATATGAAATATAATCAATTTAATCAATGTGGTCAATCCATGTTATTGTCATGCTAAATTGCAGGTGATTTATTAACATTTCACTTACTGTATTTATTAGCTGACAACAATCTGAACATATTTGAGATGCTTCTGGGGAGGAAACAGAAGTTCACAGATTCTGCAAATACGGCAGAAACACGGACTTGTTTTGCCCTATCTTCAGAGTTTATGGACAATGTCATTTACTGAGGCAAGATTTTTTTGTTTTGTTCTGTTTTCATATGTTCTATAATGTATTTCAGCTGATTTTCCAGCTAAAGGTCACTGTGAATACAAATAATATTGTTTCAAAGCCCGGGCTGATGCCCTCGGTTCCAGCTGTTCAAAACTAATGGCAAACGTGGCTCTATAGCAAACCTGAATCATGACAAAATTTGATCCTTTTCATCATCAAACTGTTTGGGGGAAGAAACTAATCCTGCCCACAGGGCTACACTGCTAATCTCAGGATTACCAGCAATCTAAGGGAGAATGCTGAATCCATAGTATTCTAGATTAAATTCTCAGCTGACAGTTTTTTAAGTTGAATATATATAAAAGGATAAGGGATAATGTAGAAAATGTGGCAGCACCAGGAGAAGCCTCACCCTCTGCATGCCAGTGAACTCCCAGCAACTTCCATAGGGCCGGGATTCTACCTGCTCCATACATCAACAGTTCAGCCTCATCTGGAGTATGTAGATGGGCTAATCAGGAATGAGCAAGGCCAGATGCACCTGGAGACTACATGCAGTGAGAGGGAGAAAGTGACTCAAAGGACTGCGAACGCTTACCTGACAAAAGCGAGTAAGAACGAACATGATCAAAGTGCACAAAATAATAAATAGGGTGGGGAAAAAGCAGATCAGGAAGTATCTACCCTCCCTCAACTCTCAGGAAAAGAGAAAAAAAAAGAAGAGCTTGGGGGCTCTATTGAAATTGATTTTTTATTATTATTTTTTATATCTAGTACTATTTTCCTCCCAAACAGCAAGCAATGAAAGCCTCTGGAACTCACTGCAGCAAGATACTAGTGAGACCCAGACCAGAAGAGTATCAAAATAAAGATATCTGCATTGCTAGGCAGACTTTGCTAGGCAGTCACAACTTTAAAACAAGAGTTTTACAAGCACCAAGTTCCAAGGATTGCAAAAAAAGGGGAAACAGAAACTGCTGCACCCTTCTGCTCAGGCTGTCCCAGCCCTGTAGTGAAGCTCTAAGGGAACATTTTTAACTTTATATCGTCTTCAGGCTTTCAGTTTCTTCTAGTAATTAAAAAGTGCATCTCTTCTGCAGCTAGCTATGCATGAATAAAAGTGATTATTTTTCTATAATCAAATTATAAATAGCATAAATTCCAACTCCAGTGCACGGCAAGTGACCGAGCCTACAAAATTTCTTGGCGGTTGGAGAGGTCCTCCCTATGTCTGCCAATGGCTTCCCCTAAAAAAAATAGAATCAAATCAAAATAAACTTTAATAAAAGAGAGGACGCAGTAGTGGCTGCTATACGCCTTTCAGAGTGGCCAGCTGTAGGTCCCTCAGCCTTCTCCTCGGCACACTACAAGGTCAGGCACTGCGAGGAGCCAGCCAAGGCGCTGGAGAGCATGTACCAAAGCCAAGAAATCTCCATGCCTCTCTTGCAGGTAATCCCACCAGGATCCACCTTCATCCCTGCCCTGGATGTCTCACTCCTGCAAGCTCAGACTAAGTACCTGTTTCTTGGAAGGCAACAAGTTGAGGGTATCACCAGCAGCCTTGGACAGGAACTTCCATTGATCGACAGCCCCCACAAAAGGTCTGGCTTTTCACAAACAAAACTGAACAGTTAAAGAAGGCTTGAAACCCAGGGAAATTAACTCTCCGAGAAGGATTTATGTAACAAGCACAGCTAAATAAAATGGCTATAAAACTGCAGAGAACTTCTCCCAACATTATAACTACAAGGAAAAATTTCTAGTTATATGAAAACTAACAAGTTACAAATACCTTAAACAAAATATACCTGCATATACTGCACATATAGAAACAAATTTTACACCTCTCTCTTGTAGGTATTCATACAACTTGTCATCCATTTTTTGTCCGGCTAGCATCAGAATTTCCAGACTTGCCTATTTTCTATGAAATTTCTCTGACAGTTTTAAGCAGCGAGTGGTTCTCCCTGCTGCGTGTCTCCCTTAAGAGTGGCATATTCCTCCTATAATTTAGCTGGCAATAGCTGCTACACCTCTGTTTAGCTCCACTCCCAGATGCACTTCTTAAAAAATGTTGCCATGCTTAATTTACCAAAAAAAAAGGTTGTGGATTTGCAAATGCAAGTTGGTTATGCACCTTCTTTCAAAAGTGAAAAGCTTTCCATATTTCTCATCTAAAGTGTTATATGAAGTACAGGAAAACATTTATCACTATTTTAAAAGTCACACCCCTGCACTTCAAAGGTAAAGATGTATTTTTAAGCAAAAAACTGTTTAGTAATCAAAGACGGCTTTTAAAGGAAAGTACTGTAGAGTCTTTCTGAGAAACATGCCCTAGGCAAAAATCTGAAATTGGGAGTACAACCTACTCCCATCCTTAATGCAGGACTTGGGTGATGATGGGACTTTATGCACTGGTTTAGCCTTCAGTACAAATTCTACACTCACTGCACTGTTAATGTTATGGACTTAATGCTGTTCTTTTTAAATTTAAATCAAGGAGAAAAAGAAAGATCTCTTATTTTGCTTCACATATTTTTTACTTAGTTTGAATTTACTTTGTACAGTCTTTGTTTCTTTGGATTAAAAACACTTAAAAGACTTTTTGGCTTTTTTTTTCAAAACAGGAAATAAATTTGTGCTCGCTTCAGCAGCATGTATACTAAAATTGGAACAAAATGGCCCCTGCACAAGGACGAC